ATTGAGGGCGGGAGGAGGAGGGGACAACAGAGGATGAGATGGTTGGATGGCATCACCAACTCAATGGATATGGGTTTGGGTGGACTCCGGGAGTCGGTGATGGACAGGGAGGCCTGGTGCGCTGCGGTTCATGGGGTCACAAAGAGTTGGCCACGACTGAGCAACTGAACTGAACTGAATTTCAAATTCACCGTATAATCTTTCTAATTATCCTAAGTTTTCTAAACTCCTCTTTGGCCTATTTTATGCTGATAGTTTGGTTTTTGAAATGCAAAAGAGTAAGGCTACAAAATATTACCTTATATAATTGTCAACAGCTCTACACATGCAATTATTATGTGTAAAATACCTAGCAAAGTACCAGAAATTGAATAGATACTTAGTAAATGATAATAATTATTAAATAAGAAAATAATAACGACAAAAGTTAAGAGTATGAACTTTGGAATTAGAGAAAAAGGTTTGAAATCTACTACTCAATATGTGTTTGATCTTAGCAAAGACTAAGTTTTTCTCAGCTATAAAATAGGTTTTGGGAAGATTATATGAGAGAACATATCTGAAAGTTTAGCACAGTGTGGTTCAGGAAACACTGTATTATCAGCAACTATTTGTAATACTTTCAAACATCCCCTTTTCTGAAATCACAGCACTTTGTATATATTAGTCACTAATCTTTATCACACTGGATTATTGATCTGAGTGCTTCTGTTTTCCAGGAGAGCTCTCTGAGGCAAACATTTCATTTATTCATGATTATATTGAACAGTGCCTCATGTGCTCAGTCACTTCTGAGTCTTTGGGATTTCATGGACCATTGCCCATTAGGCTTCTCTGTCCATGGAATTTTCCCAGCGAGAATACTGGAATGGGTTGCCATACCCTCCTCCAGGGGATCTTCCTGACCCAGGGATTGAACCCACATATCTTGCATTTCCTGCATCAGCAAGCAGATTCTTTACCACTGCACCACCTGGGAAGCCCTGAACATTCCCTACTACCCAACAAATATCCTCAATGAGCCTAGCAAACTCATAGCCATCTTTAAAAACTAGCCCCATATATTTTCCTTTTGGGGGCACCTTTCCTTGCTCATTCATAATAATGAGAAACTATTACTAAGGCTTACTCAAGTCAGCTGCTGTACCATTTTGCGTAATCACTTAAGCTTCACCACATCAAGCAAGGTAGATAAAATTACTATCCCCTATGTTTCAGTAGAGCAAAAACACTTAGAACTAAGTTCAGTAACTTGCCCAAGGTCACTCAGTTAGTAGATAATGGAGACAGAAATCACACTTTCCTTCCAGATAGTTTCCTTCCTGACTGATCTTAACCACTATCCTATACCTTTAGTGCAAAAGTAACAGTCATCATTTACTAAGAGTTCTTTTAATGTGCAAGACACTAAAATGTGTGTGACACATATTTTAGATGCATTATTTTATTGAATACTTAATAACCTTAAGAGTAGATACTATTACTATCTCCAATTAACAGAGGACAAAACTAAGTTAAGCACCCTGCCCGGAGTAACAAAGCTAAGATATCAGTGAACACAAATCATCTCATCCCACAACCTGAATCACCATACATAATATTTCCTCAACACCCCTGTGTCTTGCTTGGTTTCACCTGTGTACCGAGGACTTACCCAGGTCCTTCCTTTTATCACAAGGCATTGTATCACTTATTTGCAAGTTATCCTACCCGTATGAGAATGTAAGCTTTTCACTGCATCTCTATGTAACAGCTCAGGACTGCACATTAACAGAAAGTGAAGATGCAATAAATGTTTGTAAAACTTATATTTCTAATCAATGACTTTTAAACTTTATAAGCTGTGATATCCTTTTTTTGAATAAAAGCCCAATATCATTAAGAGAAAAAAACACAGTGCTGTGTGGTTTAAGCAGCCCAGAGACTCCCTTCAGCCTTCCACTCATGCCTCAACAAAAATCTGTGCTGTAAATTCACTTACTTCACAGGGGCTCGAGCATAAACCTGAAGCCAGTCAGGAATTTCTGCAGTATGATAAGGATTTGCAGGTACCAGAAGGGACTGATTTCTCTCGGCTTGCTGTGGCTGGTATGTAACAGGAGGAGGTTGATCATACCGAGGCACACTAAGACAGAACAAACGTTCATCAGGATGACGGTCTCAACAGAAGAGGAAGTGTAAGAATACTGTCTGTTTGTCAAAGTGCCTCTTGCTCACACTTCTACCACCTTTTTCTTTTTAACTATACTATAGGAGAAGTAAAATTCACCTTCTCTTGGAAACTTATAGGTCATTAGTGATATATAGAGAACTAAGCTAATCTTTACATATTTTTAAGAGGTTTCTTCTGGCTTATATTTATTCTTTTCAAGGGCAACTTCAAAGGAGGCTATAAAAAAATTCAGAGCAAAGTTATAACCTTTATAAGGAGGCTTAAAACTAGAATCATAAATTTTAGTAATAATTAAGTAATTAGCTATAAATTTATATTGGAAAAGGTGGTAATTCTTCTCAAAATAAGAATGGATATTTCCTTTCTCCTTTAGGTTGAAAAGGGGGTATGGGATAGATGTTAAAGTAGTAATCTGTACTGTGCTTGAACTAGCCACCTAACTATACCACTTCCTTTCCACTTTTACAAACTTACAAGAGCATAAGGGAGTTAGAGCTGATTAGAGCCTGTTTTAAATCAGACTTTAAAATAAAAAAGGCCACATTTTCAATTATTTATAACAGCCTATAAGTGTTGGGGGAAGGAGGGAGAACAGCAAGGTGGGGTGAAAGCTGTTCATGGAAAAATGCTAAGGAAAGCTTGAAGGTTCAAGGAACCACTTGAAGGTTAAAGACTGAATTCTGAGAGACCAAATTGGCCTATTCCAGACTTGGAGACAAAACTGGAAGAGTCTACCTCCAAACAAAATTGTTTATGTGTGTATCAGAAAAGGTCATTCCAGTACTAAATTAGGACTAAAGTGTAAGTGTTGGATTACACTGTAGTTAACAATTTAAAGATCAATGTGCAAATGGTACTGTATTTTATCTTCAACTCTTTCATGAATAGGTGCAAAGTGAAATATTCCTTGATAGCACAGTTGGACGGGAAAGAACAGAAGTGGGAAAGAACTGAGGCTTTGAAGTCAAACTGGCCACTTACAAGTTGTATAAATGTAGATGAATACTGCTTCTCTTCTCTAAACTTTAGCCTCCTGATTTGTAAAACTGGAATAAATTCATACCAGAGATGACTGTTCTAAGGATTAAATGGCCTAGTATAATGAAGAGTTATGTAAAAGGATTAGCATAATACAGACAATCAAATAGCTACTAACACTACCTATCTCAGATTAAAGGTGTTTACTCTCTCCTTTTTAAAGTCTACAGAGCTGCTGAGAAAGGCAAACTATAAAACTGCTTTGTAAACTATTAAATTCTACAATGTAAGATTAATGATGACAAACAGAAAACTAAGCTCACTATACACGCAAACCTTTCTATAGACCAGAAAGTCTGCCATTCGGTGACAGCAAACTGTAACCACATTTTGCTGTCTTTTTTTTTTTTTTTGGCGGGGGAGGGGAGGGCATTTCTATCATTTTCTATCATTTATTCATTCAACATCTACCTGTGTGAATTTCTGTGTTTGGTGCTGGGGACACAGTAGTAAATAAGTGGGACTCATCCCTGCCCTTGGGTAAGAATTGTGATCAGGTGGGAGGGACAACTGACAAATCAGCCCCATGTCACAGGCCTGAAAATGGAAGCCAAGGAGAGTAACAGCAGCCTGCCTGAGATGGTGGTGAAAGCAGGCAGAGGGGTCAGAGCCCAGCAAATGCAGAGTGGTTAATCTGGCTCTTCTGAAGGGATGACAACTTCACTTGTTCAATAAACACTGACTGCGTGCCACTAAATGGAATCACTGGAAAAAAACTGCTTTTCAAAGTTGAATTAATAAATCCAAACATGTAAAATAATTAAAACAACACAATAATGATAAAGCTTAGTTTTCTGGGTGATAATATTAAAATGTATTTTCAAAATAATTTAAATGGCTCTAAAAAATGCAAAAGTATGCTCTAACCAAACATCTGTGCTATGCTAGATGATATTAAGCAACAGCTATCAACATGCTGATGATATTCTACCCATTTTTAATTTTATGGCTCAGTTCTTAAGAGCTCAATATTGTTAACTGCAAACATTTGCAGTTTCATACTAAACATTTTATGTACTTTGAAAGTCAGTGTGTATTTTACATGTATGACGCATCTCAACTTGGATTAATCATATTTCAAGTGCTCAACAGCCATATCTGACAACTGGCTATAGAATTCAAAGGCTAGAAATCTGAAATCAATGAAATCTACTGATAGGCCAGCATCAGTCAGAATAAGCCAAAGGATCACTGGCTATATCTATTAAACAGATCTGAGATGTTCTGTACAGTTTCAATTTTTGCTTTCTTACCTGGCAACAGTTAAGAAACAGAACATAAAGTATCTGTAAACTGAATAAACAACAAGACATCATTATAATTCAAAAGTATATTCTACACATTCAAAGGTAGGTCTATATTTTTAAAGAAATTTAAATGTAAAAAGATGAGAATTTTATTTATTTCAATCTCTGGGTATCTTTAACAAAAACATTCTGGCATATTAAAGCAGAACCTGATCATAAGAATATTGATCCTGTTTTTGAGGTTTATTTTTAAAGTTTTTTAATTATTAAAGTCATTCATTACTAAATATAAGTCCAGAAGCTGTGAAAGGTAAAAGTTTTCAAATCAAACATCAGGATACCTTTCTCGTTGATGAAAATGTAAGTTCAAAATCTAACATTAAAAAAAAAAACTAACATTAGACAATCTCCAAACAAAAGGGTTAAAATAGTCAATACTCTACCTTGGAGCACAAGGATGCCTATATTGAGCCTTTTTATTCGTGTGATCTACGTAATAGGTTCCAAATTCTGAAGACTCAACACGTTCCCATCCTGGAGGAAGTCCTTCTCGCTCAAGAGGATGGCTCCAATGAGTTGTATTTGTGTTGTGATCTATGTAATATTTCCTCCCTCTCATTGTCCAGTCCACAGACCAGCCAGGAGGAAGGGGTAAATCTTCAGAACCATGGTTAGCTAAATTTCCTAATGATGTAGCAGCAACTCTCCCAATACCTGAGAGGAAAAAGAGAAGAAACAGAACAATTATTATAGCTAAAAGATATATACCATATGAAAAACTCAAAACTATCCAAATTATACTCTCCCATTAAAAATCATGATTTTTACTGTGACAAAATTTTTCTTAAAACTAGACAATGTTACTGTTATTTACTTACAAAAGGAGAAAAAAACTGTAATCTATCAAATTAGGCTCTTTTGGTTGAGGCTTCCATCACCAAACCATACAAAACTAATTAAGCATGTATACTGCTAAAGGAAAGTGAGAAAAAGAAAAATTCATCTCATTCAAGAGTTAAGATTTGACATTTCATCTAAAACAGCAAAAATGAACTTGTAAAACTATTCTTAGTTTGTAATTTCTTAAAAATAGTATGGCTAAAAAAAAAATCTGGCTGTACCATAAAACTACTAAGGAAGTTTACCAAGTATAAGGTAAACATACAAAATCAATTAAATATTTTTATATTAATAATTGAAAACAAATTATAACACTTATAACAGCTCCAAAAATTTAAATATTTACATATCAATCTAACAAAAAATTGCAGGCTCTGTATGCTGACAACTACAAAACAGTGATGAAAGAAATGAAATGGATGTTGTCAAGATGGTGGAGTAGGAAGACCCTGAACTCATCTCCCATGGGCACACCAAAAATACAACTATTAATATTTACAGAGCAACTACTGATGAGAACAACCAGAATCTAGCAGAAAAGATCTTCTACAACTAAAAATATAAAGAAGGAACCACAACAAGATGGGAAGGAAAGGTGGAAATGCAATATAGTCAAGACCCTTACCCCCAGGTGGGCAACCCACAAACAGGAGAATTGTAACTGTAGAGATTCTCCCCAAGGGGCAAGGGATCTGAATCCCACATTAGGCTTCCTCACCAGGAAGACAAGTCCCCAGAACTTCTGGCTTTGTAGGCCAGCAGTGCTCTCTTTCAGGTGAACCAGTGGGCTGTAAGAAATAAAGACTCCACTCTTAAATGGTGCACACAAAATCTCACACACGTTGGGACCCAGGACAAAAGCAATAATTTGAAAGGAGCATGGGTCAGACCCACCAGCTAATTTTGGGGAGCCTCCCAGAGAGGCAGGAGGAAACTGGGGGCACACACACTTGTGGCAGATATTTCAGGAGTTTGTTCTATCTCAAGGCCACTGGTGCTGGCAAGTGTCATTTTGGAATCTTCCTTTTAACTTATTAGCAAAAGGACCTGGGTCGTGCCCACCAGTCTATGGGCACCAGTACTGGGACACCTCAGGCCAGGTCAAACAACTAGCCCAGCTGGGACACAGCCCCACTCACCAGCAGGCCAGCTGCCTTAAGACCTCTTGTGCCCTGAGTCTCGTCACGACATGTCTCTGTCCACCAGAGGGCTTAGGGCCCAGGCCCACACACCAGTATACAAGCAGGAGTCCTGGAATCCCCAGCAGTGGCAGCATCGGAACCTGGCTCCACCCACCAGTGGGCTGGCACTAGCCTCAGGACCAGCCTCACCCACCATCACTTTCAGATATAACACTATAAACCTCCCAGTAGATAAAACAGGCAATACATTCTTCAACATAAGTTGTAGCAATATTTTCTTAGCTCAGTTTCCTAAAGCCAAAAAAAAAAAAAGGCAAAAATAAATGGGACCTGATCAAACTTGAAAGCTTTTGCACAGCAAAGGAAACCATGAACACAATGAAAATAACCCCATAGAACAGAAAATATTTGCAAATGCTGCAATCAACAAGGAGTTAATATCCAAAACATACAAACAATGGATACAACTCAGTATTAAAACAAACAACCCAACCAAAAAATGGACAGAAGACCTAAATAGACATTTCTCCAAAAAAGACATTCAGATGGCCAACAGGCACTGAAAAGATGCTCAATATCGCTAATTGTTAGAGAAATGAAAATCAAAACTACAACGAGGTATCAATTCACACTGGCCAGAATCATCATTTCGAAGTCCATAAACAGTAAGTGCTGGAAAGGATGTGGAGAAAAGGGAACTCTCTTACACTGCTGGGACTGTAAACTGATGCAGCTCCTAAGGAAAACAGTACGGAGGTTCCTTAAAAAAATAAAAATATAATTGCCATATAATCCAGTAATCCCATTCCTGGGCATATACCTGGAAAAGAGGAAAACTCTAACTGGAAAAGATACAAGCACCACAGTGTTCACAGCAGCACTATTTATAATACTCAACATGGAAGCAACCCAAGTGTCCATCAATAGACAACTGGCTTAAAAAGATATGGGGTGTGTGTGTGTATACATATATATGTGTGTACATGCATAAGGTGTGTATAGATGTATAAAACACACATAATGGAATGTTATTTAACACTAAAAAAGAATGAAATATTTCCATTTACAGCAACACATGGATGGACCTAGAGAATATCATGTTTAGCGAAGTCAGTCAGAAAGAGAAAGACAAATACTATATGATGTCATTTATTTGTGGAAACTAAAAATAATACAAATGAATCTACACACAAAACCGAAACAGACCCACAAACATAGAAAACAAACTTATGTTTACCAAAAAGGGAGAGGAGGGGAAAACTAGGAGTATGGAATTAACAGACACAAATTATTATACATAAAATAGACGAGCAACAAGGATTTACTATAGCACAGCAAATTATGGCTCAGTGGTAAAGAATCCGCCTGCCAGTGCAGGAGACGTGGGCTCAGTCCCTGGGTTGGGAAGGCCCCTGGAGAAGGAGATGCAATTCGCCCCAGAGCTCCTGCCGGGGATCCCGCAGACAGAGAAGCCTGGAGGGCTACAGTCTAAGGGTCACAGAGAATCAGGCGTGACTTAGTGACGGAGCAACGACGACAACAGGGAGTCAGACCCAGTGTCTTGTAATGACCTATAATGGAGCACAACTGCAATAAACAAATTACCATGCCATACTCCTGAAATCAACACAATACTGTAAATCAACTGTATTTCAAAAAAAAAATAAATGAGAGAGAGGTAAAATCCCTAGATCTAATATATATACACCAAGACTGCCAAAAGCAGATGGGCTAGAAGAACAGTAAAGGAAGAAGTGGAAACAAGAACAGAATACTGTGAAAAACTACACAGCCCAACACACTACCCTGGTAACTTTTCCTTTTCCCTCTCAATCCCCTGCCTCTCTAGCAACTACAGCAGCCAATTTCAAACAACTGGCAGAGAAAAACCCAAATTATTCAATAACATATAATAAGGACAGCATAACATCAATTTCTGCAAGAAAAATTGAAGAGGCAAAAAGGTGCAAAACTGGTTAAAAAGAACATTCAAAAAAAATGTTGAACCAAAGCAGAGAAAAAAATGAAATTAAATATTCTGCCACTGCCATAAACTGAAAAAACAATGAAGCAATCAATTCCCTGAAGGAAGATCAAAAAGAAGAAAAACAAGAGCCCAAAAAAAACAGATGTTAAAAAAAACAGAGATAGTAGATGTGCTTAGGGAAAGAATGATGAAGACAAAAACTGGAAGAAGAAATATGCAGTGTTCATTACAGTAAGAAAGCTGGCAACTCTTAACCAAGTGCTTAAGGTTAACATCACCAATAATATCATAAAGAGATCATGTATCTCCTTTATATGATATGATGAAGACACTTCACCTCTGGTATTCTTTTTATAAACCAATACGCCCAGTCTAAGCATGAGAAAAACATCAGACAAAATGTAAATCGAGGGACAGTCTACAAAACATCTAACAAGTATTTCTCAAGACTGTCCAGGTCATTAAGTACAAGAAAAGACTAAGCAGTTGTTCTAGACCAAAGAACACTAAGGAGATATGACAACTAAATGTAATGGGGTACTCTGCATTGGATCCTGTAACAGAAAATGAACATTCATGAAAAAACTGGTGAAATTCAAATTAAACATGTTGTTTTATTTCTTAAAAATTCTTGAGTTCATGAAGATACTAAAAAGAAAAACGTATTGGTTGCCTCTGGAGGCAGTTAGGCAATTATGAAAAACAGTAAGCAAAGGGAAAGGTCTAGCATGTGTCCTGTCTTATATGAATTGCCAAAATACTAACAAAGGAAACCAAATAATTAAGCAAAGTTCTTCACTATAGAACTCTTCCTTACAGAAATCCAACTAATAAAGAAATGACAACATTAGAATATCACTACTTGCAACATCTAATGAAATATTGGATCTAGCCAATAATCAATACTGGCTTCCAAATCACTAGGTGAAAAGCTGACAGAATATCATGATGGATGAATTGGGATGGCATCTGATCTCATGATCAATTTTCACATCACAAAAAGAGAAATCAGTCATTATGTGTCTCTGGATCTGATGCAACAGAATACATAACATCACCTATGAAGTACTCTGGCACAAAGGAAAATGTAAGAAAGAAAACTAAATCACTCTTGCTGAGTACCGTTTGGGGAGAAAGTCATATATTTCTAAAACATATGGTGACTACAAGACAAAACAAAGCTAAAAAGCCTTCTGGTGAAGCTGACTTTGGCTTCTGCCATTTGCAATTGGACATTTAGTAAGTGTAGCTTAAGCAACTTCAGTACTTAAAGAGAAAACATTTAAACAGAAAAGAAATAAGCCAACGTATTAAAGACATGCACATAGGAAATATCTACAATCACGCTGTTTAAGCATGCAATAGCTTTACACTTTCGCAAATTTCCATCACTGAAGATGCTGCAGTACTAGTCACAACCAAGGATAGCAATTTTCAGAAAGAATTATAGACTCATTAGAAAAGACCCTGATTCTGGGAAAGACTGAGGGCAGGAGGAAAAAGGGGCGATAGAGGATGAGATGGTTGGATGGCATCATCAACACAATGGACGTGAGTTTGAGCAAACTCCAAGAGATAGTGAAGGACAGGGAAGCCTGGTATGCTGCAGTTTATGGGGTCATAAAGAGTGGGACACAACTCAGCGACCTAACAACAAGAACACAGTCAATTCAATGTATTCAAAC